CGGTGATGAGGTAAGTGACCTTTCTGCATGCTGCTACAAAATACTTGAGTTATTTATTATGCTTGAACTGTCTTCCTTTAAATGTAATGGAAATTTCATTCAAGTTACTAACTGTCTTCAAAGTTTCTGCCTTTCCATGTTGATATTGGTTCAAATGTCCCATAGGAACCATCTAATCTTCCTCACCTAAATTATTGAGATTCCAGTGCTTTACCGTAGAAATATCAGGATTGTTCTGCTAGGGGCCAATTTTGTACCTTTCACGCACCACATTGAATGCAAGTAGTTACGTGAATGATTAGTCTGTAGATCTTAAGTCGAATGATAGCTTTATCTTCTCATAAGTCTTGTCTTTCTCTTAATCATCCCTCCCGATTCTTCTTAAGTAGAGCATCTGCTGTATTTAAAAGTAGCATCAATCACATGACCTGCTTTCATTCACTTAATGAGTTAATTTCACCGACGCTTCCCTAATTTAACATTCATATATTTAGTCGGTCCAAATTGTAACTTATGATGTACTTTTTTAACAGAAAGTCCTTTGAGTGCCAGTTGTTATGTCAGCATAACATATAGACCAATTAAATCATTATTCTTAGAGTGGGAGGAGAAATTTCGAAGAAATCACATGCATAATAAGAAAAATAAATAAGCGATTCTTATTCACATGATCAAACAGATTTTAGGTTACATGCACAATAATTGCTCTTTGTTTAGCATGAATAGTGAAGATCAGTTTGCTCGTAAATATGACCATGTGATGCTTTAGATGATCACCAAAAATAAAAGCAAAATTATAATACACAATTTACCCGCTAAACTCAATAATGTCACTTAATTGGGTTAAATTATAAATGTGTTATTTTGAAGTTCAACAACATATGGTACATTTTCTAAGTTAAGAGAGCAGTGTTGACATTTATTGTTTACTTAAAATTTGCAAGTATTTGGTGCATTACCTATCTTATACATCAATCTCTAAGTCTTCACACAAGCATATAGACTAAACAGGGTCAGAAGCACAAACTTTTTGTCTTCTACTTACTCTTTTTAGGGCTTTATGAAAAGAAAAAAAATCCTACATTTTCCTATCATGTTTTCCTTGTCATCATTGTAATGTTTCTTCTTTGAATTTGAAATGATGCTTTGTATGCATTTTTATTAAAATTATCATGATTTTTTTATGTTTTTTGCTTAATCAAAGTCAATTTTGCAGAGTAATTGGTGTTGGGTATTGATGGGAGGAATTATTATGTATTTTATGGCATATGTATGAATATGTGTGCCCAAAATATAAAAAGGGAAGAGTTGAGAAGGATGGATGCTCATTAACTTCTGCAAGTTTCTTGTAAGCGTGCAAATGCATTCCAGTGACACCATATTCTCACTGCACTTCTTAATGCAAACAGGGTTCCCCCTGGAAGGCTCTTGAGAAAGCAATGGGTAATTTCAAAAAGGAAGGGTCGATAGAGGATGTGCTACGTCAGCAGATTGAAAAGAACGAATTCTATGAAGAGAAAGGTGGGGGCGAAGGTGGCAAAGGAAGGGGCGGTGGTGGCGGTGGTGATGGTTTAGGTGGCTCTGGTGGAACAGAAGATGAAGGCTTTGCTGGAATCATGGATGAAACACTGCAAGTGATTCTAGCAACTGTTGGGTTTATTTTTCTGGTAATAATCCCACACTCTTGCTGTTTCTTGATCAGGCTTTGTGTATATCTTGTGTTTTACCATTTTATCCTCATCAATAAATTATGTTCTTCTAACTATTTTCTTAGCAAAGGGTGATTTAGGATTTTCAAGAAGCAATAATGTCATTGAGTATTCGAGTAAAACAGTTATGATTTCTGTTTTAATTTCTTCAATGTGATGTTTTGAATAACATGCTTTGGTTAAGAGGTTCAAGTTGATGCCTTTGGAAAGACATTTCTCAAGGCCTTTACAGTTTCACCTCTTTTTGTTGATTTAGGCTGGGAAATAGGAAAACAATGAGTCTTTGGGAACAGTGTTGGGCCGGGGGTAACAGCTTCTGTAACTTTTTTTGTCGTTCATACAAATCATCTCATCTTGATACTGCTCTCAGTGCAAGGTTGTGTTTGAGTCCGTCCTTCTAATCCTCTTGACTGTTAACAGAATTGTTGGATTGTTTTCATAAAGTTGGCTTGTTTAGAAGATGTTTTACTGGTTCCCTATCATACATTTGGAAGTCTATAGTACCTTTTAAGATACTAGTCTTAGGTTTGATTATTGTTAGTTGGAGGATGAATACTTGTGATATGGTTCGGAGGAGATGGTCGTCTTGGCGTCTTTGATTCCAAAGGTGTATGAGTATGTGTAATCGTTTGCTCCTTTATTGGTCATTGCTCTGTCCTTGTGGCAGGGATCGTTTAGGGAGTCTAATAAGCTTGGATATTCCAGTTTCATGCAAGGCTGTATTGTGTGAGAAGTATAAGTTCTTCGGAGGGAGAAAGAAGGATATAGTGCAGGGACGATGGGAAGTTTTTCAGTATTGTGGATGGAAAGGAATGTGAGGATTTTTGTAGGAGCTAGTGTGTGAGGAGGTGGATTACTTGTGGGGGATAGGGTTGGATTTAGAGCGTCGGTGTCTTCAGAGTTCAAAAATAATTCTTTTCGGGCTATTTTATTTTTCTGAATGGAGGGCTTCTGTGCAAAAAAGCCAAGCCTATTTATCCTAATGTTTTCAATGAGAGCTATGATAATTGCTAGTAGTTGTAGATCATCAGATAAAGAATCTGGATGTGTAATATTATTCTTTTACCCAATATGTATTTACATTTCATACTCGAATGGTTTTCTTGCAGTATGTTTACATCATCAGTGGTGAGGAGATTACTCGGCTGGCAAAGGACTACATCAAGTTTGTGTTTTCAGGGTCCAAGAGTATCCGTTTGCAGCGTGCAATGTACAAGTGGGGAAGGTTCTTCCACACGTTGACTGAGAAGAAGGAATATGATAAGTTCTGGTTGGAGAAGGCCATTCTCACCACCCCAACTGCGTATGATTCGCCTGAAAAGTACCGCAATCTTGTTAGATCTCTAGAACCAGATTCTGATGATGATGACGATGACGATGAATAGTACAAATCACATTGTATAAACCCTTTCCCTCGACATTGTTCCATTTCCTGTTTATTTCGGAGGATTGTATAATTTTTTAGTGCAAGCTATTCAGTTTCTTTTTTGGGTATAATTTTCCAGTTTAAACCCTACATTTTATAGCACTTGAGAGTTTAAGATCCTAAAATAATAAAGTAGTTGCTTTTCTGCAGAACCTGCATTTACCAAGCTTTCCTAATACAATGTAGCAAAACCTTGGACATTCTCTCCTCCGTTGTGATTCAATCAAGCTCGAAAATGTGAATCGGTCGAAAATCAATCGTGACCGCCTCACCTTCGACTGTAATCGAAACACAGACAGGAGAGCCCCATCGTTTTCACTTTCTCTTTGTTTAAATACAAAATTTAAAGAAAATACAAATCATCTATCAACCTATACATATAAGAGCTGGAAAATATTGAAACCTGTGACATAAGGAAGAGATCTGCTGGACATAAGGGAGATCTGCTGGCGAGGAGAATTGAAAGGTGGGACAACGATGGGGAGGTATGGTGTATCACTTCCCTTGTAATTTGATTCAGTTTGTTTTCGGGGTCGGTGGGTTGCTGCTTAGTTGCGTTGTTCCTGGTTAATGCAGGTTGTTTTTTTCGGTTGCTGGCTCGTAAGAGCCTTTGTTGTGCTGCTCTGTTGGGTGATGAGCTCTGCAACCCCAGTCCACCGCTCCAGCTGCTACTAACGCTGCAAATGGTCCTTCTTCCCACTCAAATGGTGTCAATAATGGCGATTCATCTTCTTCTGAAAACGCTTGTACCCATCACCATGGAGACTTAGTTGGTGCTGGTGGCCCTGGTACTGGAGATCTCTTGAAGAGGCTGGATTTCGGTATAAGAACTATGTGGCCTCGCTTCGTACTTGGAATCTCAAGCTTGGTAAAGTGCAGCAAAAAGTGTCAATACATAACCTGAAATGTCATAACAATCAATCCCTTTGTTTTGACTCGTTCATTATCTACGTGCTTATGTGCATGTATATACGGACCTTCTCTCAGCTTGAATGTCATTGATATCACCATTTGTTAAACATAATGCTCATTCTGCCAGATTGTATCAAATTTCTTATCGATCAACTACGACATCTTATTACTGACATATCAACATGGCAAAGTCCTTGTTCCATCTGACTGGCTTCGGAAGGAATCTCAAAAATAGGTGTCCTCAGCACTGGAAAGTTTGCAGGTGATGCTGTTTTTTTGTATTAACTTTGCACAATCAACGGAGCTTTGATATTCCTCACTTGTGTACGTACCTTTTCCAATCAGTTTAATGAGTAGTGAAGGTTTGTACTTCTGATGTTAAAGATCAAGTTATCGGAACAAATTTCTGGTATGATTAGCTTATTTCTTTGTTCATTTTCGTGCGTGCATGTTGGAAACGCCAGAATTCCTATAGATATTCTGTAGAAACAAAAAGAAAACACCACCCAAGTTTTAAAATTGTCAATCTAATGACGGGGGACTCCAGTGAAATGTACATGCCAACGGTGTCAAGAGTGTTTGCCTGTCTCCTTGAGAAAGGGTGGACTATCAGCTCATTTCTGTCAACATCCAGGTATGCCATTTCCTACTTTTACTCAACTAAGTATAATTTACACAGTTAATCTCTCTCTGTTTCATTTTCGTGATATAATTTACTGTAACAGCCGTTTGGACAGTTCCAGCTTTTCAAGATCAAGATATCTCCCTCTTCGCGCAGTAAATCCTAATTTCGTTCTTCTTATTTTACTAATTATGGGCATGCATTTTCAATCTTTCTGTACAATATTCATTCAAAATCAGGAGAGCCACATGCCGTTACACATGACATGTGAACATGAAATTAAAAAAGATTAGGTAACTTGTAAACTTGAATCAGAATCTAGAGAGCCATATGCCAGAACATATGCTGGTAAATAGGGGCATGCATTTTATTCTTACAACACACATACAATGTATATATCGTTTGTACAAATTCCTTTCCCATCAAACAAAGGTGATGATTTTCTGGTATGGAACGGAATGTGCATATAATCATATATGAGCCTTAATTATAATCCGTAAACGGAACTACAAATAATGCTTTTCTTTGCAGCATTGAATTGCATCGATGAGCATCTCATCAACCCCGTACTTGAATCTGAAACCTGAATCCAAGAGCTTCTTTGACGACAGACCAGGTGCTTTCTCACCTTTAACCTCCCTTAAATAGCTGCACAGAATGATCAAATGAACCGATACGAAAGATATTTTGATTTCAATCTCGAGATTGGAACACAACGAGAGAATCACGTTCATAATATGAAGAATAACATTTGACGTACCTTACTGAGGGTATTTGAAACTCCGGGTATTTGGCAGAAAGAAACTCAGCCATTTGTACAAGGGTTATGACATGTGATGAGCAATTGTACCTCCCTTTTGCATTATGATGTTCGAAAAGGAAAATGTGCGCTCTGGCAACATCATCGACATGCGCCATAGGCGTATTAATATGAAAGCTAAGCTGATCAAGGTTACCAAAGACCAGAGCCAGTGTACTGTGAACGGAGCCGGGAAGCTTAGGACAAATGAAGGGGCCAACAACAAAAGAAGGTATTACTGTCACAACATCCAACCCATATTTCTCTGAAAATTCAAGAACTGCCTTCTCAGTTAATGTCTTTGAAATCATGTATGACCCTCCATATGAAATTTTAGCTTTAATGTAATCTACGTCGCTCCAAAAACTTTCATCCACTTCCTCCACATCATTGCCGCTGCCAAACACGACAGCGGATGCACTAGAAGTGTACACAACTCGTTTCACTGTTTTTGCATTTAAGCACGCCTTCAGAATGCCGAGAGCTCCATCAATTGATCTTTTGGTCACTACTTGTTCTGGTTCCTTGTCTTGGAAATCGACTGGAGTGGCAACATGGAACACTCCGATGCATCCTTCAACGGCTGCATTGAAGCTGTCCGGGTTGCTGAGATCCGCTGTGAAAATTTTGAGCCTTTCGGTTGCTCCTGGTAGACTTGTGAGGTAGCTTAGATCTCTCTGGTTCTCTGGCATATACTAAGAGCGGTTTCAATATGGAACGAGACACAAACATGGAGCTCAATCGAAAACTAAAACCATAATTAATTGTTTAATCTAAACTACGTATTAACAAACTCTATTTGTCAATCAAAAGAAGGTAAAATATCCAAATTAACCATGTCAACAAAACTAAGAAAAACAACCAAAATTAAAGTTCTAGGTAATATAGTAAAGGGAACTGTTATTAACTGCAAAAATCTCATTCTCCACTCTTCACAAATGTATTTTTCTTTCTAATTATAGAAAGTTTGGAGTGCAAAATGAAATTTTTGGAATGTCAGTAATAATTTCTAGGGGCTTTTGGATCTAGGTCCAAAAACTTAGATAGTTTTTGGGACCGGGTCCAGTTATCCAATTACATATTTTGATATCAATTTTGCCCCTTCAGATAAAAATATTTAAATTCTTTAATTTTTTATCATTTATTCAGTTTTTAAATTTTGAATATTTAAATACTCAAACTAAAATATTATCTAGTAACTACCTACTATTTATGAAGAAAACAAGACCGATATAATATAGTAACTACCTACCTATTGTATAGGAAGAAAATGCTTTATACCTACAAAGCAGATATAATCTACTCGCAAAACAAAAATAAACTACCTATTGTATTGGAAGAAAAATGCTGGGAACCTACATGGTGGAACATAAAAATATAAATATGATATAATATACCTCCATTAAAGGAACGAATTTGGAGGGAAGAACGTAAAAATATCACCCATGAAAAGAAGAGACAAAAAAGAGGAGGATTGATAGAGGGGATTGTTTGGAAGAAGGAAAAAATGAGGGATGAAACAGACTGGGGGTTGAGGTGATTATATGGCTATAACTAATCCTACAATTAAGGGATTAGTTAAACCATAAATTATCTCATAATTAAGAAATTTTGTGTATTTACTACAATTCGTAAGCCTAAGGGGTAAATATGGTACAAACCACAAATAAACATACATGGAATCTCAATTATTGAACCTATTTCAATGAAGTGGACTAATTCTACTAATCTCTCACAAAATTGGATCTATATCAAATTATCCCTAATTTCTAATAGTAAATTAAACACAAAATAGTTTTATTGGTTTTGTTCAAAGTCTCACAGCCAAGTAACCATATCAGTTGCTTCCACTTTATGTTTTTTTTTTTCCCAAATATAATAAACTTTTAGGGATGAAATAGTTATCTAGAAACAGTCATTAAATATATGAACTGCCTCTTCAGCGATGAAACATAATTTAAGATCGTCACCCAAAAACTTAATGGCCATTTTATATTTTGTCTCTCAGTAAACTTTTTATTTATTTATTTTTTAATTTTAATAAGCACATGCATATCATTTCCCTTGGATCAGTTCGTCTAAGGCCTTTACCCTATTATCTTTTTTATCAAACTGCTACTAGCCTTAGCAGCGATGGAAATGGAAATAAACAAAGGAATAGTTTAAGAAAAAATAAAAATCGAAACACTCTCCCAGAAATAAAATTTTTGTTTGGAATTTCCTGCACATAGAACTTATAATACAAGGGAAAATTTTTCAAGATATGTTGATATGAATTATAGTTGTATAGATTTAATAAAAAAAAAATCAACAAATCAAAAACCCGATAAACAGCAACAAAAACAAACCTTTATTTCAATATTTCAAAAGCCGGATCCAATATAAAATAAAAAATAAAAAACCTTCATAATTTTTTAACTTTACCTGCAGGGTGTGATCTAACAGTAGTATTCACAGAGTAGCCTTGATCAAGAAGCCTCATAACCAGCCAAGAACCTAAGAACCCTGAACCACCTGTTACACATACAACTCTTCCTGATCTCTCTCCTTCCATTTCTCTCTCTCTCTCTCTCTCTCTCTCTCTCTCTCTCTCTCTCCCCTGCCTTCAAGTTCAATCAAATCAAGGCTGGTTGATAATTTGCCAGGTCATTGAAGCCTCAGTGTAATCATGAAAGTTGATCTTGGTGGGGACTCTTTCCACCTTAACTGTCTCTGTCTAGTAATTTTCGTAGTGGTTGAGTGGCACTGCTTGACATGTTTCTTCATTGACAAAGTCCGTTTACATCCAAAACATGTCTTAAGAAGAGTAGAGGGTGTAAAGTGAGACATTATAGAATGTAGGGGTAAAGTGAGATTTTATGTGGAGTAGAGAGGGCATAGATAAAAATCAAGGCTATGTTTTGCGATGATTATATTTGAAGCTTGTTGTTGATTTTCAATTAGAAAATAATTGATAATGTTGTTTTTACATTTCTTTTAATTGAAGGCTTGGTGTTGTTTAGTAATTTAATTTCAACTTCGTATGGTTGAAACATTAGAAAAAGTCTTTAAGTTATATTGTTTATGCTTTGCGTGGATGATGATGTATAAATTGAATTTTAATTAATATTGACGTTGTTTTGGTTACAAATAGGGGTGGTTTGGGTCAGGATATCCCAAACAGAAACCTGAATCCCAAGCCAATAATTTTCGGGAAGAAATTTTATAACCCAAAACCAAACCGAATTATCGTGATTCCTAGCAGCAATACAAGTTAATTCCATTTTTATTTAAAAAATTTATAGGCAAAAGAACGATGTCGTATTTAGCCATTTTAATTCTTAAAAACTATAAAAGATGACCAATTGATTAGTCCACAGCCCCTTCCAAATGCCTTAATTATGAAAGCCTATTCAAGCAATTTTCCATTTTTCAAAGAATACAGCCAAAACCAATCTTGCCCTCTCTTTTCTGCTAGATATGGCCATCATTTTGTTTTCCCATAATGTTGTATTTGTAATTTCATCACATATCGAACTGCTAGTTTTCATCGATACTATTTGTGTTTAATTTTAAATAAAAAAAAAGTCAAATGATTTCTAACCGCACAATACACGATAAATAACTAAGATGTGAGGATCCCTAAAATACCCACAATTTGAATCCAAATGGGATCCAATTCCCAGAAATAACATGCTGACCCAGAAATAAAAAAGTAGTAAAACTTAAGAGAATTGTTATTAGCACTTTAAAAATCTCATTCTACACTCCTCACAAATGTATTTTTCTTTCCAATTATGAAAAGTTTGGAGTGCCAAATGTGAGTGCTAATAACAATTCCCAAACTTAACCCTAAAACTTATTAATCTCATTCCTATGCCCACAACCTCATTTCTGCAATTGGACGAAATGCTAAACTAATGCACGTTGGTAAAGTTTAAATTCATATTCGCATTCATAATTGCTCAACCAGATTCCATTGTAAACCTGTCTTCCAATCTTCCTTAATTTGTTTGCTACAGATATTATAAAGAAATTATATACGTTGGGATTTTTGGTAAATCTTCGGGATTACCGAACCACTACAAAGAGTAATCGAATCCAATACTGAAAATTTCGGTTCAGTTCGGTTTCAAATACCGAACATTTTGAGATTTTTTGTTAAAGAGTTTTTTTTTTTGGTTTGGGTTTGGGACTGTTTGAGATTTTTGGATTTTTTCCCACCCCCAGTAACAAACAAGCAAAAAAACCCGCGCGATGCCGCGGGTTTACAACTTTAGTAGTTACACATAATTACAACAATGTTTCCAATTCTACTACTACATATATACAACCATACTCACAATCCTATTTACACAAATACTAATCAGCATGTTAAATGGGAGAGTTTTAACTCAATACAAAACTTGATAAAATTAAACAAATCTCCATCTCATCCGTTCTTCATTTTGACCCCTGCTCTTATAAACTGGACTGAATGATGTACATGGATCATCAATTTCCACGGCAAAGAAGGGATTCTCCATCGTCACCACCATTGGTGTTCTCTCCCTGTTTTCCTTTGCCTAGAAATTGGAAAATCCAATTTTGAAGACATTTTCTCACACTACAACATTCTTTTAGTTTATATTTCATAAATAATATCATATCACAACCATAGAAGCAATAATTTTAAAATGCCACAACATTTAAATACCATGCATAATAATTTTTTTTTAAAAAAAAGAGTATAAAACTAAGCTGTCACAGCAGCTATATTAATCAATCCCAAAAGAAGATGCTCAAAATCTAGACAACAGGACCTATCCAAAGTAACAGAAGAAAAAGCTGATGGAAAATAAAGTCCAATCTAAACAAATGTGTAAATTGAAACTCTGATTTCAATCCGCCAAAATTTTCAAATTGCTTACCTTGATTACAGAGGACTTCGGAAGACAACGGACCCAAAATCATAAAACAACAACAAAATAATTAAAAACCAAATTAAATAAAATAAATTACCGCAAATTAACATGAATAAAAAAAAAAAAAGACATTTTATTTGACAAAAGCTCAAATTTCCTTGTGAGCCCTGTCTATCCCAATTTTTTTTCCCACAGATTCAGCGTCATCTAATAGTGCTCTGGCTATGGAGAATCTATGGATAATTGGTGTTTTAGTAAGTCATTGACTAAATTTTTTCACAGAAACAACGATTATCGTTAACCGCTCAGAAGTTTGAGAACTATTTAGCCCAAAGGGGGAAAAGAAAAAATCAATAAGATCAAAAAAGGAAAACAAAGCTCATCCAATGAAGACATACGCAGAAAGGATGAAAGCCAAAAGCGAATGCCAGTGAAAAGTCTTTTTCCCAAACCCATTTGCATGCATTTCCTCGCTTTCCCATTTCCCTTTTCCTATGTTCTGTAAACAACTAATTCTTTCCGAACTCCAATCAAGAAAAATAAAAAATTGTACGTAAATTTAAGCCTTACCTGTGGATTAGCAACAACAAAAGCAAACTGATTCCAACGATCTGGAGAAATTTGGGTTTTAGGGATTTGAACTGAAATTGATTTCGATGAGCAGTTTTTTGTTTCGATTCATGGTGTAGCACGAATGAAGAGGTGGAGAAGTACGGAACGAAATGGAAACGGTGCAGAGGAAATGGTGCAGAGGAGAGGAATGAAGCGGTGACGCAAATCTCAAACTTTTTTCCATATACACGTATGCCTATAGGGTAATTTGGGAATTTCACTGTAAAAGCACAAAACGTAGGAACCCAGAAACATTAAAATGAGGGCAAAAACGTCAAAATACTGTTTCTTATGAACAATATTTTTCTCATTCCGCTTTAGTATACATAAATTTAAGAACTCTTACAAAATAAAGTGTTACAAGATTAAACTCGATAAACTTGGAAAACTCGAAACAGTTGAACTTGGAGCCCGAAAGAACGCACATGAATCCAAACCCAACTCAAGCCCTAACTGTAAAGGTTGGATTGACCATCAAATGTGCCTAAGTTGCACCCCTACCTGGGGTGAGAAATGAGGACTATACAATATGATTATCTACTTGTACCACTAAAACGAGCCTCTTGACCTTTCTTCAGTTGGAGATGGCCTAACCCGACCTATTTAAAACAGGTCGGGTCCACGGGTCCAATCCAAGCTTGGCGAAGTAACGATTTCGAACGAATGGCCATTGTGGTCGAATTGCAGATCCATCTCAAAAGCAAAGCCGTTGAACTTATGGCCAACAAAGAACACGAAGCTTGTCATGCATCGGAAAACAACATGGAAAGAATCAAAGAAACAAACCAGAACAATAGCTGTTGAATTTTTGTGAAGATCCATCTAAAATTAAAGAAAGAAAGAATATTTGGGTTGGGAAAGGAGCTGTTCTGTGGGAGAAAAGCCCGGTTTTGAAGACGATTCCTGTATTAGATTCTCGGAATTTGTGGGTTTTGTGGGATTTTTAGGAAATGGTTTTGGTTTCCTGGCAGGAAGAAGAAAAGTTACATAATTTCATTTGCTTTGATGATGGACACGCGACTTGGCAGGAAGAAGAAAAGCCTTCATTGGGTTTGGTGAAGGCACGCATTTTCTTGGCAGAAAGTCTTGCCACATATGTTCTGGATTAAATCCAATCGAATCCAACGGTTGCACGGTTCGATCTGGGGGCCCATTTCTTGTAACTTTGGGGTCCGCCCTGCCCTATTTATTCTACACAATATTAAGACCCGTCTTGTACCTGCCCTAACCCATGGGTCCATGACTCGTTTGCCCCATTTCTTTTACACAATATTAAAACCCGCCTTGTACCTATCCCAACCCGCGGGTCGAAGACCCGTTTGCCCACCCCTAATGAGGAATGAGGATTGCACAATGATTATTTATACGTACAAAAAAAAAAAAAAAAAAAAAAAAAACTCTCCTTGTAGCATGGAACAAGGCTTGAACACCGTATTCAACCGTTTCATTTAAGGGGTATAACCAGTGGCATATTCGGGATTGAACTTTGAATGGTACCAGTATGAAATACAAATTTTTTAGATAGGAAAAGAGTGCGAAGCGTGTAAAAAAAAAAAAAAAAAATCAATTTATTCACTTAGTGGGCTTGTTATGCACATGTCAATAGATATTAGCATATGCTGAAGCTATCTGATCAGTTATATAGAGAGAACTTATTGAGTGCTACGAACACAACATGCCGAGATATGCTTAGCATGCATTATGTCAAACATTTATTAGGCACAAAATGGACCCGTACCAAACATTCTAAGGATCCTCTGAAGACCTTCACATATATATTTTCTAGACTCAAGTGGTTTTGGACCACCTTGGTCCCTATTTCCATCCACCACTAGGCATGACAATTTCTTTTTCAGTTTTTACCTTTTTTTAGAAGGAAAACGCATACATGGAACATAAGAGGAATGATGAGAGTGGATGGCGGATAAATGAGAGAGATGTAGAAGACATGTATAAGGAAAGTCGCACAAAATTATATATATTGTTGAGAATAAATCCCACATTAATGGGGGGTGGGGTCTTGCATGGGCTTATAAGTAAGTTAGGCTACTCCCATATTGCCAAAACCTTCAGGTATATATGTTTTAACTAGTTGATTTTCTACGAGCTTATGTACATGAATATACGGGACCTTATCTCATCAGATCGAACGTCATTATTGATATCACCATTTGTGAAACATAATGCTGATTCTGCCAGATGGATCACCGAGATGAACAAGTGAAACAATCTTGATGACAGCTTAGCTGAAAATTTCTGCCCTCCTAGAGCTCATGTATTTAACAATGCTGAATGTAAATTTGAGAGAAGAGCTCTACTTGTCTTGTTCCAATAACTCCTTAAAATTTTCTACTTACCTTGTTTTTATTTATAGGAGCCTGTGGACAGGAACGTTTGTATCAAATTTCTTATCGATCAACTACAAGATCTTATTACTGACATATCAACATGCAAAGTCCTTGTTCCGTCCGACTGCCTTCGGAAGGAATCTCAAAAATAGATGTCCCCAGCACTGAAAAGTTTGCAGGTGATGCTCGTTTTTGTATTAACTACGCACAATCATTGGAACTTTGATATTCCTTAATTGTGTACCTTTTCCACTCAGTTTAATGAGTAGTGAAGGTAACTACTAATGTTAAAGATCAAGTTATCGGAACAAATTTCTGATATGATTAGCTTATTTCTTTGTTCATTTTCGTGCGTCTGGTGAAAGTGTACACGCCACCGGTGTCAAGAGCGTTGGCCTGTCTACTCGAGAAAGGGGAGGACTATCAGCTCATTTCTGTCTACATCCAGGTATGCCATTTCCTACATTTACTCAATTATGTATAATTTACTCAGTTCATCTCCCAGTCTCGTTTTCGTGATATAATTTACTGTAATAGTCCGTTGGACAGGTTTCAGCTTTTCAAGACCAAGACATCTGGCGGGGTAAATCCTAATTTCGTTCTTCTTAATTATTTTACTAATTATGTGCATGCATTTTCAATAATTATTTATAATGTTCATTCAGAATCGAGAGAAGCCATATGCCGATACACATGTGACATGTGAACTTGAAATTGAAAAAGCTAAGGTAACTTGTGAACTTGAATCAGAATCGAGATGGCCATATGCCGGTACATATGAGGGTATATATGGGCATGCATTTTATTCTTACAACACACAATGTATATATTCGTTCGTACAAGTTCCTTTTCCATCCAACAAGGGTGATGTTTTTCTGGTATGGAACGAAACGTGCATATAATCACATACGAGTCTTAATTATAATCCAAAAACGGAAAACTATAAATAATTATTTTCTTTGCAGCACTGAATTGCGTCGCTGAGAATCTCATCAACCCCATACTTGAATCTGAAACCAGAATCCAAGAGCTTCTTTGACGACAGACCAGGCGTTTTATCACCTTTAACCTCCCTTAAATAGCTGCACAGAAAGATCAAATGAACCGAGAAATAATGATATTTTGATTTCAATCTCAAGGTAGGAACACAACGAGAGAATCACATTTGTAGTATGAAGAATACTAGTTGACGTACCTTACTGAGGGTATTTGAAATTCCGGGTATTTGGCAGAAAGAAACTCAGCCAGTTGTACAAGGTTTATGACATGTGATGAGCAATTGTACCTCCCTTTTGCATCATGATGTTCTAAAAGGAAAATGTGCGCGCTGGCAACATCATCGACATGCACCAATGGTATATTGATAAGAAATCTAAGCTCCTCAAGGTTACCAAAGACCATAGCCAGTGTGCTGCGAACGGAGCTGGGAAGCTTAGGACAAATGAACGGGCCAGCAACAATAGAAGGTATTATTGTCACAACATCCAACCCATATTTCTCTGAAAATTCAAGAACTGCCTTCTCAGTTAATCTCTTTGAAATCACGTATGACCCTCCAAATGGCTTTACAGATCTAATGTAATCTGTATCGCTCCAAAAATTTTCATCCACTTCCTCCACATCCTTGCCGCTGCCAAACACGACAGCGAATACACTAGAAGTGTACACAACTCGTTTCACTGTTTTTGCGTTTAAGCACGCCCTTAGAATACCTAGGGCTCCATCAATTGATCTTTTAGTCACTACTTGTTCAGGTTCGTTGTCTTGGAAATCGACTGGAGTGGCAACATGGAACACTCCCATGCACCCTTCAACGGCTGCACAGAAGCTGTCCGGGTTGCTGAGATCCGCTGTGAAAATTTTGAGCCTTTCGGTTGCTCCTGGTAGACTAGTGAGGTAGCTTAGATCTCTCTGGTTCTCTGGCATATACTAAGAGCGGTTTCAATATGGAACGAGACACAAACATGGAGCTCAATCGAAAACTAAAACCATAATTAATTGTTTAATTTAAGAGTGATTCCATAGTTACCACTTATTTGTACCATCATTCTAAACAGGTAGGGTGTGCATGAACAAAGTTCGGGCTCCACCACAAAACCAATGGTAATATGGGGAGGGGCTCAACTACTTATAATTATATGCAAGGTCTCTCATCTTATAAATATGAGATTCATTCTTAACATGTTCTCTCACGTGTGGCGAATTTTCAATCCTAACACGTGGACAACATAATAGGGTGACGTGGACGCGTGTAGCCGTTTGGCTTCATACGTGGGACAACCTGCTCTGATACTATGGAGAAGTTGAGGTTTCATCATAAGAACAAATGGCAATTTGGTGAGTAATTCAACTCTTATAAGCCCATGCAAGATCCTACCACCTGTCAATATGGGACTCATTCTCAACAAGAAGAAATTGAGGTAGAGAGATGGTACAAGTAGATAGTAAAAGTAGCACTTTTTGTTAATCTAAACTACTTATTACAAAATCTATTTGTCACCCAAAAAAGGTGAAAAATCCAAATTAACCATGTCAACAAAGTTAAAGAAAAGAACCAAAATAAAAGGTACGGACAATATAGTAAATTAAACACAAAATAGTTTTATTATTTTTGTTGAAATGCTCCATTTTGTCTTTCACGTTTTTCTCCCATAAAAAATAAACTTTTACGGACAAAATAGTTATCTAAAAACAATCGCTAAAGATATGAATGGCCTCTTTAATGACAAAACATCATTTAAAGATCGTCACAAAAAAATTTAGTGACCATTTTATATTTTTCCTCTTTATAAATTTTATTTTTAACTTGGATAACTTCCAGGCAGTTTCGAAATTCAAGGTGGTTGAAATTTCAAAAGTCAAAGTATGCTTCTTCCTAATGATATGGTTTGTTAAGGAAATTGTTAGTATTAATATACCTTGGATAAGTTTGTTTGGGGCCTTTACTACCCTAATGATATCTTTTTGATCAAATCTGCTACTAATCTTAGCAGAGATGGAAATGGAAATAGGCAAAGATATAATTTAAGAAAAAAACTAAAATTAAAACACTCTCTACCAAAATTAAATTTTTTGTTTGGATTTTCTGCACAAGAAAAAAAATTCGAGATATATTGATATGAATATACTTTGTGTAGATTAAATATAAAAAAAATCAAAAAATTCGATTTACAACTGCAAGTCTACCACAATAAAGCCTTATCACATTATTTAGAAAAACCCGACATAAAAATAATAAATAAAATTTGTAATATTTTACCTGTAGGATCTGATCTAAGAGTGGTATTCACATAGTAGCCCTGATCAAGAAGCCTCATAACCAGCCAAGACCCTACGTACCCAGAACCACCTGTTACACACACTACTCTTCCCAATCTCTCTCCTTCCATCTCTCTATATCTCTCTCTCTCTCTATCTCTCTCTCTCTCTCTCAATCTCTCGCTCTCTCTCCCTCTTCAAATTCAATCAAATTATATATATTATCACCCAGTTTTGGGTTGGCACTGTTTATCTAAAAAGTCAGTGTAATTATGAAATCTTACACTACTCTTCCTAATCTCTCTCCTGTTACACACACTACTCTTCCTAATATCTCTCCTTCCATCTCTCTCTCTGCTTTCAAATTCATGTCTAAAGTCTCAGCGTAATTATGAAATCTTATCTTGGAGTGGGAAAATGATTGATGGAGATTTTTATCACCTGCAAAAGTAGGGATAAAAACACTTAAAAAGACTTGCAAGAGTACAAAGTTATCGAAGTATAGCAGCTCAAATAAGGTAGTTTCCACAGGGATTGAATGAATAATTTATGTTTAAACTAATTCTTAACTAACTATTTAAACATTTCGAAAATGTTGATTTTATGACCTAGAATATTAAAAACGAATTAAATTAAAAACATATAAATAAATTGTCAAAGTAAAGAAAACAAGAGAACATAGTTTTGAAAATAAATTTAAGCACTAGGGTTCTGTCGTCCCCTTAACAATTTTATGTAGTTTTATCAATTATTTACGAATTACACATGCAACTTTGAAGGTTAATTTTATTTTTTTTATTTTTTTTTATGCATATTCTACTTGTGGCATTCAAGTTAGAACATAGATCAAACATGCAATCCATCTGTGGCATTCAGATCAAATATAGACATGCATGACTCATTATGCTTTGTGAAAACCCTTTGAAAAACCATGCAACCCCTAAGATGTGACATTCGCCCTAGGCGAACTTACAACTATCAATCACAAGAAGCAATACTCAATCCTCCAGTGGCATTCCTACCAAATTGCATCCGATTACTTAATTAAACATCTTAATGGTAGCTAAGCATTAAGATATAGAGATAGTTTAAACACAGTGATTAATAATTCAAAGTATGCATGTATAATATCATAAGCAATTAAATAAAAACTACATATTCATGCTAAGGCTCAGGGCATCGCCTTAACAAACGGAAATTAGTTATGAACAACCATAACACAAAAGGAATTTTATTGAAATAGAAAAAGGATAGAAAACACCTTGAAATACAAATCGTCAAAGCCTAGCTAAGTTCTCCAAATTGATGCCTTCGTTCTCCCAAATTGATGCGTTTGTTCCTAATGGCTAAAAAACTTTATTTATACTACTACAAAATAAAATTCTACTTAGAAAAAGGTGTGACAACCCGTCCCGGATTTTTACGGAACGAAAGGGTAATGTTGTAATTTCATGTTGGGTTTGGATATTGGTTTAAAATATTGTTTTTGAGGGCCCTAATAGGTGTGCCCCAATGGGTCCACCTTTGGAGTTTGTCCCCGACACACTCCCTTCTCTCTCTCCCTTCATCTCTCTCTTTCTTCCCTCCCATGAGTCTTACTCTCCCTCTCACTTTATCTCTCTCATTCTCACTTCTTTCCTTTCTCTATCGGCAAGCACCGAAGGGTGCCATAGGGGAAAGCACCACCTGAGAAACCACCCATTTCACCCTTTAGACCTCACAAGCTTAAACCTGAGCCCTGTTACGTAGGAAAAACTGAGCCGTGAGACTCTAACTCCAAGCTCCAAAAAGAACAAAGTTCCCTGACGCGACTTCGAATGATTTTGTAACTTCTCTGATTTGGGTAAGCCTCATAACACTCCAAATGCTTCTCTTTTCGTCCCTATAGTTCTTTTATGACCACATTGTTGTGTTTTGGACGTTAAAATACAAAGAAACACCTTCAAAGACTATATTCCCAATTTTTCGGCGAGGTGCCGGGACTTGCAGACGTTTACCAATCATATTCCGACCACGACTGGCCACAAGGAAGGTATATTTCGACTCCTTGCTTCACGGGCTTCATTTTGGTATTTTAGTTCACTTGTTTTGACTAAGTTTCGAGCTCTGTTGGAGCTTAGGAATTCTCCGGCCGATTTCTGGCCTTCTTCTTCGTTTGGTCTGGTGACCCATAAACCTTAGATCCAAAGCCCTTTTTACCTAACCTATTTAGGTAGCCCAATCCCTTAGCCTTTTAAACCAAAGGACCCAATTAAATAACCGGGCTTTCAAGCCCAAAACCCTAGTCTAACCAGGCCCTTAGGACGTGCATCTAGGCCCAGGCCCATCACCAACCTAGCCCGTTGAACCCAAACCCTTGACCCTTTGAAACCAGGCCTTTGGGCCTAGGACCCGTTGGCCTAATCCCACCAGCCCAACCTGGATGGAATATTCTGTCAAGGAATATTCATGGAATATTCTTAGTGTTAACTTTTTTGAAATTTACCGGGGACCCTTCTTAGGGTAATTTGATGTCCTAAATCCATTTTTTATGTCCGTTTTCCCAAATTCAATCGTTTTAATAGAGTTTTATTAATTGGACTCTTTATGTGCTTAGGGGTAATTATTTGTGGTGTTTTCGTCTTCGCTAATTTGCGTGGCTCTTCGGCGGCTAAGTATCTGTGACTCGACCCCTTCTAAAATGTATGTTTTAATAGTAGAAATGCATATATGAAAAACATGATTTAATGATTATGTTTTATGAAATATTATGCTTACTGAGAATATTTTGAATTACCATATTTTATCGAACCCATGTCTGTCGTATATATGATAGATGACTATATACTGCTTATAAACATGCTTTTACACACTTTTTTGTAGTATATATGATGGATGACTATATGCTACGAAGATGTTTTTGAGATATATGTACCTATGTTTGGAAAGACTATGTTCAATGGTTTTGTACTTATCTAGTGGTCACTATACCGTCAAGGGCGAGGGATATGGTTGTTGGCTACAGGCCTGAAGAAATAATCTCTGGCTTCTGGCCGAGAGAAATGGAGCTGGCATTGGGTAGGGAGAAATAATCTCTGGCTATGAGCGCAGAGACATAGAGCTGGCATTGGGTCGGGAGATATCATTACTGGATACCACTATTTAGCCCACTATATATGAGATACGTTTTATGAGAAGTTGTATGGCATGCTAGGTTTTCAGAAACCTATTACATATTATACTATTGATGTTTTCATAAAACTTGGGGGTTAGTATATTGATAACTATTTTAGTATTATATATATATATATATATATATATATATAAACTTGGTCCACTCATGTTTGTTTTGCGCCTCCTCATGACATTAGAATCGAGGTGTACAATCCCGGCGTCAGGGCACTTCCGTATCGGCATCTTCGAGTCCTCTTGGTATAGGACCCATTTTCCTTATTCATTCAATTTTGTATTATTCTTTTAGTGTCTTAGTTTAGTTGTATACTCTGAACACGTTCCTCATTTGCATATTAATTATATTTAAATTTATAAGTCTTATTTATTTCTTGTTCTCATGCATTCAAATATGGTTTCGTCACCTTCGGGTGTCGACTAGCACGTATTTACTCTGGTGTTTGGGAGAATATCGGGATCGGGGCATATCAAAAGGTATTCTAAAAATTAGGAAACATAATAGAATAAGATAACTAGGAAATAAAAGGTTTCCTATTTAAACTAAAATTCGGACTTCTAAGAAAATCCAACTTTTGACCAACCAAATCAATTTTGATTTGGTCCCAAAAGATCTCTTTTTAAAGCTTGAGACGTCCCTAACAAATATTCAGAAGGAATCTTCCTCAAAATATGTTATCTTGGCCTCTAATATAAAATACCCAAACGTCCAAAAACGTCAATTTTGGAAAGTTGCATGCTGGGCATTTATTTCATCGCCATGGTCAAACAACTTGGTAGAAAAATCTGAAACTTTGATACAATCATCTTGAAAGACTCATGAATACTCTCCAATTGGAATCACTTCAAAATTCGTCCCTTTGGTCACTTGTTTCTACAGAGGAAGTCAAATGTCCTACATTACAATTCCATAACAAAGTATCAAAATTCTACCAAAATAACCAATAAACTATAACTAAGAATAGGGTAAAATATATGGTATAATATGGACTCATCAAGGATCTTCGCCACATTCTTTTCCTGGGGACACTAGGGATCCCATAATCGTGACCGTTCATCGTACATCATACGGTTAATTTTCGTTAGGTACTATTTATATTTATTTTTAATTTTTAATTTTTGAAATGATTTCTGACCGTATGATGTACGATGAACGGTCATGATCACGAGATCCCTAGGATCCCCATGAAAAGGATCTGGCCCATGAAAAGGATCTGGCGAGGATCCTTTTCACTTGGAGAGGACTTTGTCACCTCTAATGTCTCTGTCTAGTAACTTTCTTAGTGGTTGAGTGGGCATGCTATCGCTTTCGGGAATGTTTCTTATTTGACAAATTCCGTTTACATCCAAAACACGTCTTAAGAAGAGTAGAGGGTGTAAAGTGATACGTTATAGAATGTAGGAAGTGGTTGAGTGGGCATGCTATCGCTTTCGGGAATGTTTCTTATTTGACAAATTCCGTTTACATCCAAAACACGTCTTAAGAAGAGTAGAGGTTATAAAGTGATACGTTATAGAATGTAGGAGGTAAAATGAGATTTTAGTTAGAGTATAAAGGTCACAACTAAAAATTAAGACTAAGTTTTGTGATGACTATATTTGAAGTTTGTTGGTTTTCAATTGGATAATGAATGATAATGTTGTTTTTACGTTTTTTTTTTTAAATTGAAGCTTTGGTGTTGTTTTGAAATTTAAACTCAACTTCGCACGGTTTTGTTGTGACTGGCTCATAAATTAGGGATTAATTATGTGTTAGCAACAATTTTGCAAGTGTAACTTTGTGAATGCTACAAGAAAATGACAGCAACCATTTGTGACTTTGCTTTCGGTGGTGGCGTGGAAGTTTTCGTTCAAGAGAAGACATGATGAGTACCACGAGCAAAGTTGGAAGCAGGTCTTGACTTTGTGGGATTGCATCCAATTGTGCATGCTTTCTCTTGTATGCATTAAAATATGGCAAATGGAGAAGAGTTGTAAGCTAGGTAGGCTAGGTGTTGAATATTTCAAAGTGAACTTGAGACTTTGTGGTCTTGGTTGTTGGCATAGGTGCTACTGTATGCCTATAAGTGAAGGCAATATTCATGCACTGTGAAAGCTTTCGGAGGAGAACACAGAGGAGAGAAAACAGAGAGTGAGAGTTGAAACACTTGAGGTAGAGTGAGATTTTGGAGAAATTTTGTGAGTGGGTGTACAAGGGATTCAGGTTTGGTTTATGTCGATTTAACTCAAGTGTATCTTGTACTAGCCTCATAGTGAAGAGCAGTAAGTCTTTGGGGATGTAGACAGGATTTTGTCAAACCTTCGTAAATTTCTCGATGTCTTTATTTCTTCTATTTTATCATGTTCAATTGTGAGTTTGTATTTTGATGAGGTAATCTGAATCTCTGTTTCGCACCGACTGGCCAAAGCACAACATGTTGAAACTTGAAACAATAGAAATAGTCTCCAGACTATTTGGTTTGTGTTTTGGATGGATGATGATTTGTAAAATTGAATATTAACTAGTATTGATGTTGTTTTTGTTACAAATTTGAGAATTTTTGCAAAAATAAAGTGTTACAAGATTAAACTCGATAAAAGAAAACCCGAATAAACGTACATGAATCCAAACTCAACCCAAGCCCTAATTGTGAAAGTTGAGTTGACCATCAAACCAGCTGAACCCATCTAAATTGATCCCTTCTTGGTGGGGGTGAGGAATGAGGATTATACAAGGATTTTTTACTTATACCAATTAGAAAAATAAAAAAAGTCCCTTAGAGCTCGATTTTGATTTCACTTTACTCCTTGCACTCAAAAGTCACGACTTTATTTTCTAAAACTCAAAATCACTCCATTTTACCATGGTTCTATTTTTCTATCAAATAGCCGCTAAAATTTCTAACGTGGATAGGTTAAATCGTAATATCATGTGCTTATTTTTAACTACTCCCTTGAAACTTAATTTTGATCCTACTTTGCCCTATGAAATTCAAAAATCATTACTTTTGCTTCTTGAAATTCTATATTTGCTCCAGTTTGATTTGTGAACTCTGTCTTCTTCTTTAAACTCAAAGTCGCCCCTGAAATATATGTGAAACTTACCATCCAATAAGACTATGCCACATGTGCCAATGCATTTTATTATGAAAGAAGGTCATCTCTAGATCCACTTTGTGGGGATCTTTGGGATCCCCACATTCTAGCCGTTTATCGTACATTGTACAGCTAATTTTCGTCAGATACTATTTATTTTTAATATATACTATTATTAAGAAAACCTTCCTTGTCAACGTTTTGTCCTTTTTTCCTATTTTGCCCTCACTTTTGGTATACAATGTTTACATAAGGAGGCAAAATAGTAATTTTGTATCTTTTAAACTTTTTGCCCTTTTTCCTATTTTGCTCTTACTTTTGATACACAATATTAGGGGTGGTTCGGTATGGGATCCCATACCGAAACCATTGTCCCGATTCCCAAACCGAAATTTTTGGGAATCCCAAATTCAATCCCAATCCCAAACCAAATTTTCGGGAATCCCAATTTTCGGGAATCCCGAAATAATTTCGGGATTTCGGGACAAATCGGGAATCCCGAAATGTTTTTGGGCTTTTGGACTAAAATTTGACATATTATGTTTTTGGGCTAAAATTTGACATATTATAAAGTAATAAATAAAGTAACAAACTCAAAAGCAAAAATATTAGTTACAAGCCAAGGTTTATAAATAAAGTAACAAACCCAAAATCAAAAAAATTAGTTATGAGCCAAAGTTTCAATAATTAAGTTACAAACCAAAAGCTAAAAAGCAAAGCTTAAAGTCTATAAATATTGTTGGCCTCTTCGGCCCCTTCGTCCCCTTGATCTTGTTGATGCTTGTGGTTGCTCCCTTCTTGTTGGTAATTGTGTGTGTATATATATATATATATATATATATACAGATTAAATCTAAAACAATGAACGGTTGAAATAATTCTCTTATAATAAAAAAAATTATATATATATATATAATATTTATTTCAATTCGGTATGGGAATACCGAAAAAATGGAGATGGAATACCGAATCCCATACCGAAAATTTCGGTTTGGTTCGGGATTACATACCGAAAATTTCGGGAATTTTGGTTTGGGATTTTTTTGGTTTGGGATCGGGATTTTTTCGGTTTGGTTTGGGATTTTTGGGATTTTTTTCCAGCCCTACACAATATTTACATAAGGAGGGCAAACTAGTAGTTTTGTATCTTTTGAGAAAATGACAATCATATCCCTATTTTTCCTATTTTACCCTCACTTTTGATACATAATATTTACATAAGATAAAAAAATATACACTTCTTCTTAAGAGAAATTGTCCCACCATCATTTTTTCACACAGGTAAGTGAAATCATGATGTTGTTTGGATAGTTTGAATAAATTGAAGCGGTTGCGCTTGAGAAGAACTTGAGAGAAGGTGGGCGGTTAGAGAGCTTTAATTTTGTACCTTTTGACAAAATGACAATCATATCCCTATTTTTCCTCTTTTACCCCTATTTTTTTGAGAAAATGACAATCATATACCTATTTTTCCCATGGCAAAACAATAAATATTTCTACTAATTAATAAAACACACATTGTCAACCAAAACCCTATGAAATTACCAGTTTAACTCTCTGATTAAAACAGAACATGAATAAGAAATATGGGGTAGAAATGTAATTTCACACAACCAAATTTTGTTTTTTTTTTTTTTCTCAAAACCTCACCTACAGGCTACATGTGATCCTAACATATCTCTAATTATAAAAAATAATAAATAATAAAAAAAACTTCTCACTCCTACATTCTCTATCACTCTCTTCTTCTCTCCTTCTATTTCAAAAACAAAAATAAAAAATTTTCTCGCACACTTTGTGTGTGCCCATATGCTGTGTAATATTAAGAAAAAATATGCACTTATTAAAAAAAATTGTCTCATCATCATTATTCCATACTCTTTTTAAAATTTTAAAAACTAATCACTCCTTAATCAATAACAAAAACTAAAATGAAATTGTTCACACACACAGAATGTGTGGTCATTTGCTAGTTTTAAACAAAAAAAAAGTCAAAAAAATTCTGAACGCACGATGCACGATGAATGATTAAGATGTGAGGATTCATAGGATCCCCACAATTTAGATCCGGATGGGATCCAAATCCTTTGATTATGAACCTCCATACCTTCAACATTCAATAATCAGAAATATTAAGCTTAAAAGAAAAAATTAAGAATTGAAATTTTTTTGGGTGGTTGTGCTTGAGTTGCAGATATGGAGGAAAACGAAAAAAAAAAGAAGATTATATATCTGCAAAAGAACTCCCTGTTGATTCATCCAAAATCATGAGGACATATCCAGCAGAATTTAGTATCTCATCCTCAATCTCAACAAAAGAAAAAAAAACAATTTGTGCTCAAGTCCTATAAGCCCATAAAATTGGGAAATTCTCTTTTTCCTTTTTTCTGATTCTAAATCCTCGACCAAAGTTGAAATGGAAACATTAACACAAACTTAATTCCAGTTTCGCAGGGCTGTACAGAAAGGGACTCTGTCACACTCTCTTCGGCTTCTTTGCACCTCCTTTCTTATCTGATTCTGCAGCCTTCTTCTTTTCCTTCCTCTCCCGCTTCTTTAAAGCCGTCATATGAGCCTTTAGGATGGTTGCATAAGAGGATTGAAACCGCTGGTGTTCCTTTGGCCCAACCTTTCCAATTGAATTCCAATTAACAATGTCAGCCAACTACACTTGACGTATAAAACCAGAAACAAGAATATCATGTTCGGGCTCTATGCTTTAGTTAGCATGTGTGTGCTGTTTCGTATAATTGTATGTTTTTATTATGTTTCTCATCAAATGAAGTAGAGCACGGCTAGTTATAAGTAGAAAAACAAAGCAATTAGCAGTCAATGCGTAAACGATATAAAGATTTTTGTATAGGAGGAAGAGTAATTAACACTTTAAGTAAGCACTTTCGGTATAATGGTATTGCATGTGCAAAATAGGTTTTACCATTTGTTTTACTGTTGTTAACATCAACTCAACTCACACTACTGTAAAAGAAGCAAAGTCGGCAACACAACGACATGCGAAATCCACCGTTAACTACTACTAAAACAATTTCCCTGCCCAAGAACCTAATTATACTGAACTTCTGATGACATTTTACTATGGTATATAAAACTAAACCAAAAGCCCCAAAGGCTTAGACACACGCACACAAACACAGAAGAAGAATCTAAGGGCGAATTGTCTCAGTTTTAAATCACATAGTGGTTCCTATTTCATGAAATTACTTTCATTTAGTAAGGTAATAAATTGAAATATTTGGAAAAAACATATGACCAAGTAATACATGTCAAGGGGCAGAAACACATACCGAAGTAGAAATTGTCTTATTCCCAAGTGTTGCACGAATAAGGCATCGGTAATCAATTTCCTCACCGGCAGTTTTCATTTTATTCCTCTGCACCTTAGACTTCATGGATGCTGAAATACATACAAGATTGAAAAGTACCTCACACATTGTAATAAAACAACCCAAATACGCACGAATTACACTAACAAAAGAAAAAAGCAAACCCATTGAAAGAAAACAGAAGGAAACTTGTGCACATACATCGTTTGAAGGTAACCCAGACGGAACCCTTCTCGGTGCTTTTCTCAAACATGCTAGTGAGTTCGTTAAGAAATGGATCAGGCTGTAAAAGAACCTACAATAAGAAGTAAAATAAATCGTATCAGAATAATCTCCTCAGTCCAAATACAAGACATAACTATATCAAAAAGGAATCAACCCAACAAAATAGCATCAGGCAGGGAATGCACATTCATCACCATCGCAAATTTCACAAACAAATTTTGGTTCTGCATTTGGGTTTCGTTAACTCGATTAAGATTAACAATTTTATGGAGATTCAAATTAAAACGAACCAACAAAAACACAATTATCATACAAATTGTCCGAGTAAATCACTCCAAACACAAGGCAAAGCAGGAAAATTGAAGGAAACCCATGTGAGTAGATGAATCCGTGAATCTATGCGTACATGTATGTTTGCACAGAATCGAAGCAATTGAGAGGGAGAAGGAGAAATTGAAGATACGATACCATTGTGTGATTGCGAAGAGGCTTTTCCTTCTTCGATGCGATCCGGGGATGGACGGATTCTTAAACCCTAGAAAATCAAATCAAGGTTTAGTTTGGGGATTTTACGATCGGAGGAGATTATGAATTCTGAGGAGCTGTGAACATGTTGGAGCCGCTTGACCGTATGTCGAATTACCCTTATAACCCTGAAAAAGCCGGTTTTAATGGGCTTGTCTAGCGCAATTGTAATGTTTCTTGGCCCAAAGCTAGTTTGCTTTGGGGAGATTAAGATTGCGATCAAAGATTAAAGAAATTGACTTAGCTTATCAAAATACATTGATCGATTCATAGAGTTTTGTGTTTAAGATCGACTAAAATATAGTAAAAATCATCTATGTGAAAAAAAATTAATAAAATATAAAAAATTTTAATCATCTGTATAAAAACAGATGGTCGTATTTAGTAAAAAAAAACATTTGCTTCTTTTTATTGACTAAACAATTTTAATTTTAATTGATTTTTCCAATAATAATGTTTAGAAAGTGATTTATAATGTGAAAAAAAAAATAATCTTTTGTAAAATTTAAGTTCCACGAACAGTCAATAATACTTTTGTTGTTGCAGTTAATATCATTTAGGGATGTAGTGTGTAAATCTAGAAGTAGATTCGAATATGATTCGGATATCTAATCCCTTTAAGGCTTGTATTGCTTGCGAGGAAAGAAAAGCTCACTTGATTATTATAAATAAAGCCACAAAACAACAAGGGAGAGTGCAATTTACAACCACTGAGCTCTCTCTTGTCGTCCTTCCCTACCCTCATCATTCAGATTTTCCTTCAACACCTTACAATCACGAATTGTATCTCTGATGGGAAGATCGAATCAAGAATGGTGTTCAAGAAATCGCTATCCAAGTATCTTCCAAACTTTATCTTTGTTAAAGTTTTATAAGCCTTTATGCATGTTAACCATGCCATGAAACATGAATCCTAATTTCAATTTCAAACTTATTTCTTGCTATTTTTGGAATCCTACTTCGTGCATGGTTCCGTTTAGTCGGTCTAGAACCCTATATAGTTCGGATTCTATTGAGTTAGTCTAAAATCCTACTTCATACAAGGTTCCGTTGAGTTGGTCTGGAACCCTATATTCTTTGGATCCCATTGAGTTGGTCTTGAATCCTATTTCGTGCATGGTTCCGTTGAGTTGGGCTGGAACCCTATATTCTTTGGATTCCATTAAGTTAGTTTGGAATCATACTTCGTGCATGGTTTCATTGAGTTGGTCCGGAACCTTACATTCTTTGGATTCCATTGAGATGGTCTAGAATCCTACTTCGTGCATGGTTTCATTGAGTTGGACCGAAACCCGATATTCTTTGGATTATATTAAGTTGGTCTGGAAACCTTCGTGTATAGTTTCATTGAGTTGGTTCAGAACCCTATATTCTTTGGATTCCATTGTGGTGGTCTAGAATCCTACTTTGTCATGGTTCCATTGCTAGAGTGTAATGAATTATGCTCGTTGAGTTTCATTTAGTTGTTCTGGAACTCAATGTTTTCTAGCTAGTTAATGCCATGAGAAATTCTGGAAGTCATTGCAGATACAAGATTTTATTTATTTATTTATTTATGCTTAACAAAATGGTGAATTACGATTGACTTGATCCCTCACAAGGTATGTAGGCAGTCTAATCTACACCCATATAATAAAATAAAATGTTACTCCACTGTTGAACTAATGGTTTTTTTAGTCATGTCTCAAATTCGGGGGTGTGACAGATAACGCCACCACATCGAACTAAAATGGGTTTGCCAGTTATGTTTCACCTTCAACTATTCGCTACTTAGAACCCTTGATAGGCGATCTCTTTACATACTAATTAGATGTTCTTCCCGCTGTTAGGAGAGAGAAGGAACACCAACATTCACAATGAACGACGTGAATTCAAGTGGTCAGTCCTTGTGTCTCATCTCGATCTCTGTATCACACACTGTCAAATTGAAGTGCGACACATTCTAGATCTTTAGAGCGTAGCTCAAAGCATGCTACACACTTTTACTGATCTAGCAAGAGTGAGGAGTTCACATATACATGTTGCAAACATGCTTACAAGGATTGATGTACCAAGAAGGCATGAGAGCAGCATGCTGCCCCCACTTGTATTCCAGTGAGGTCGGCCTCACCTAATGGGAGTGCTCATGCAATATTAGTGGTTAGCCAATCAGTTGCCCATGCTCGAAGAGAGGCAGACCAGTTAGGTCCGAAGGATTCGTACCCTCGAAAGATGATGAATATGACACAGCCAATTCCTAGTTTTGTAGCTATCACTTCTGTTTCAATGCATGAGGTTATTGTAGATTATGGTAGTTTCACGGAAGAGACATAACCGCCTCGCGATAATCAAAAAATCCACTATGCATGTTTGGAAGCACTTTGGAAAAGAAATGAGATAATAGGCAACGATGCACTTGCATATACTGTATCTACTGATCTTGCAAAGAGATGACAATAAAGAACCAAGTTTCATAAACGAATGTTAGCATAAAACGGATTGACCTAAATGAAAAGATTATTACAAGTTGCTAGCTAAGGTATTAATAGAATGCGTTCAACCAGTCATATCACACATCATAGAGAGATTGTGTAACTTTGTAAGAGACAAATTATCAATCTCGTTGACTTTTTTCAGTTTTGCAGTGGCTAAAAACCGCAAGTTCATCACCTCGAACAATGGCTATGGCCTGTGAAAAATTCCACAAGTTATGCATTAGTAGCAGTGTATAAAAATAGAACAGCATTTGATAATAAAATTAGGACAGTGTTTGATTCAGTTCATTACGAAGACACTGAATTACCTCACTTATACAAAGTTTGTGATCTGAATCAACTTTTAGGCAGTGCAACGCTGCGCGAGCCATATACTGGACCATCCTAGCTTCACCAGCAGTTTCCGTCAATCTGCAGTCCATCAGTTCACCAAAGTCACCATTTTCTAGAAGTGGCAGTGCCTGTTTTGCAAGTGAAAAATCTTTCATTAGGCCGCAAATTTCTACTTCCTAACCAAAAGAAAAAGACTATCATTTTCCTTGACGATTAAATCTATGTCCTAGCCAATTAGTAGCCTGTTTCAGAGTTTATTGTCAAATCAGAAACATGTTACGGAATACAGTTCTGAAGATGCAGTTCCAGTTAAATGAAGCAATTGTCCTTGAAGTTTTTTCCAGTCACATTTGAGCTAGAATGACCGGCTTTAGGTTGGACATACGAGAGATCTTACCCATTCAATCATGGACTGGTCCTTCCCTTGGTCGTGAACCGGACTTACACACTTTCCAGTAATAAGCTCCAGTAGGAATTTTCCATAATCTTGTACATCGCCAAAATGGCGCTTGTCATATCTAGTTTAAAATATCAAACAGCAGCTATATGAGAATATGAATTAGAACATTCTTTACAGTTCTATCCTATTAAATTAAATGCTTGTGCAGGTTATGAGGCATAATTACGAAGTTCTCTTACTTGGCTATCGAATCTTTAGTCGGAGGGGAATTCTTAAGCCACTCAGCAGATATGAAGTTGCAGAGCTTGAAGAGCAGTAGTCAAAGCCAAGTACTCGGTTATAAGCAATAAGTCGAAGAGCATGATGAGTAGTAAAAAAATCAGTTGTGTTCGTTACTAACTCATCCAATTTTGTAATTATTGTAAAACCATATTTGAAGAGATCAACAAAGTTGAATTCGTTGTACAAATTCTATCGAATTTCCTTTCTTTTTTTTTTTTAATTATATTGGCTGATAACTTGGCATTGTTTCCGTTCCTGTATGCATATGAAGTATCAGGATGTACTTACCATTGCGGAGTAACCATGAGAAAGAGCAACGCTGAAAGCACGAACATTTTTGTGAACAATAGATCCATCAACACACTCCTCATGGAGATAACGCAAGCTTCGGCCTATTTCTAGAGCGATAGACCACCTCACTCCCCACCCCAGTTTCTCGGCCAGCTCATCACCTACAAACTGATAGAGGTCAGTTTGAGTATTCTATTCTGTGCAAGAACAAAACTGAAAACAATGTAGTCTGTTATGGAAGCCGAAAAAACAGAAGAACATCAAGCGGCTCATAATAATAGAAGGGATATCTATTTACCAATCAACTATGATAAGAAGAATGTGCGTGTGTGTGTTTCGAGTTCATTAACAAAGTACTTGTAAATCAAGACTTTCGAAAACTAGGATGCATCAGTTAGAGAAGTAGTCGTTCTTACATTGCAAGTTCATGTCAACGGTACCCAAACAAGGGAAGTCAAAAAGCAAGAATGCAGAAACGCCTGTGCTGCAGTACCCAACAAGGTTTGAGATGTTGCGGTGGCTCACCCGGGAAAAGATCTGTAGGATTGACCAGAAGCCTTTGTTTGTTTTCTGTAAAGACTTTACTAGAACAGGTGTTTCTTGTAATAGCCCCTGATGAACTGCTATGTCATCCACAACTACTGTAATGTTATCATCAGCAAAGCCATTCGTTATCACTTCAAGTTCGTTGTAAGAAAACGCCCGAGGAAAACCACTTCTCCAAGACAGAGGATAGCAACAAGGATTCTGAGGATATGGTGCGGGTGCACTTATATTTCTTAACTTGCAAGCACTGAAATCTTTACTATGCTCTTCCCGAGGATGCTCTACAGGAGCTGCTGAATCATAATTTGGCTCAGGATTGCTCGGGCAAATCTCAGCAGGCTGTGTATCATTCGATAGCATCAAGCTAGCAAAATCTTTTTCCTTTACTACTGCAATGTTGCACCTTACACGTCCTCGTAGATAAACTTTCAATTTCCTAAAGTGACTGAAAACCGAAAAAAAATAAATTTAGAAGAAAAATAGAGGGAGAAGAGAACACCGGGGTACTATATATGAACCTGTGGCATACCAGTCTAATACAATCCAACGGGTATTAAGGTTCTGTGATTCCTTAATTGCCAGTGTCGCGGGACAAAACCCGACTGCAAGCTTAAACACCAACCTCACCTGCACATAACAGTAAACCATAGTTTTTTAGCATGGGAACATATTCATAACATTTGACAAAACTGACATGTAAAAAGATAAATAAGAAGAAAAACCAGGAACCTCATTCTTTGTGCAGTGACTATATAAAGGCTGAAGGCTGGTCCGGTATTGTCCTCTTTTTCGCTGGATTTCTTCTCCAAGATCGACAGGATCCACTTCCTCGTGGTCAATGAATACTGATCTCTCCCCTGCAGAACATAAGCTGGTATATAGTTGGCATATATATATATATAGTAGTACGTAGCAAAGAAAGCAACACATGTGTTACATGTATATACGTAGCAAACATGGGCGTAGCCAAGTTTCGAATCCCCCACCGTAATTTTGATTAGGTTATTAAATTATCATTCAAACAAAAGAAACTTACATATTCCAGAGGCGCGGAGACCCGTGAGCAACTTAAACAGAAAGCATGAGTTCTTCTTGGCATGGTGATCAGTGAAAACAACTAAAACAAGGATGGTGTCACCGGGTTTAACGATATGTTTGAGAGCCCATTCGACGGCTTCCACACTTCCTTTACTCCTATTTGCATCGACAGCGACTATCACGGCCTCTCTTTGGGATGACTGCAACTGCAAACCAGCCATCTCCCTCTCTTTCCACCGTTTTTATTTACTATTTAGGAGAGGTTTCGCTTGTGATCATCAGAGGATTTTGGTGTTGCTCTGAATCTTTTTATCTTCCGATATGTTGGGTTTGTTTGTTCCTGACTTGGACAACTCCGTCATCGACAAGATGAACAGTCGAACGAGGTTGGTTTACGTTAGTTATTATCGTTGGCAATGAGGCTATCAGCAACAGCTTCTAAATTTTGTTTCATTGTTTGGAATGAAAGGAATAATTTTTCTTCGCCCTATTTTCTTCTTATTTATGGTAAGGCCGGCCGGATCTCTTGTTTTTTGTTGTCGTGAGTTTTGTTTGACATTATCTCACTGCTAGCTGCTGAAATACATTTTTCAGTACAGAAAAGAACCCATTATTTGGTCTCCCAATAGTAGAAAATACGAGAACCCATTATTTGGATTAAACATAAGCTATGAGACAGAGATATAAATGGATCATTTTATCCACGATCGAATTTATATTTATTTAATACACCATTCTCAATGAAAATGTTTGGAAAAGAAAACAAAAGAACAAACAACGTTTGCGAGATAGGAAATGATTTTTCATCACGTAATATCTTTTTGTCCAAAAAAAAAAAAAAAACAAAACCCTTGCATATAACGAGAGCACTCGTTGCGAGAGGAATATTTGCCCAACGAAAATTTGTTTTGGTGGTGCAAGACCAAAAAAAAATTTGCGACAAAATACGCTCTTGACATCATTTTTTACGTGATACATGAATGGTTAGCGCGACAATATATTTCGCCTCCTCGTAAATAGTGGGCGACAAATGGCTTTCATTTTTTGTGGCGCGAAATCCTAAAAAGTTTGGAGGGACGTTAATCGTAGAAGTTCTTTGGCCGACGAAGTGGGTACTTTAGGCGTCAAAACGTTCATCACTCAAAGTTTCTTTTGTTTCAGAAGAAATCCCAGATCCGAACAGCTCTGTCCTCATTTTATCTTCTTCCTCCTCTTTTGTGCACTCTCCCTCAAATTCCAAAACATATTTTATTCTCATCATCGACGATCGAAAGTCTCCACTATAAGTCTCTCTTTCTCTCCCTATTAAAACTATAATTATTATAATAAAAAGAAGCGGGTAAACGGATAACCGGTTACTCGTTTATTTTAACATTTAGACTATAATTATTATAATAAAAAGAAACGGGTAAACAAATTTTACATATATAAAATAAACGGATAAATGGTTACTCGTTTATAACCACAGTTAATACCCATAATTACTCATTTAAATTTCAGCGGTAAACGGTTATACCTATAATCGTTTATTTATCTAAACGGTTACCCATAACTGTAACCGTGAAGTTTAAATGGGCGGGTAACTGTGTTTACCCATAACCGCGAGTATTTTGCCCATCTCTAGTGCTGGTGAATCACATGATGGTGGTCAGAGGAGGCTAAAATGCTTACATGAGTCATTTTGGCTCCTAAAAGAATAGACTGTCGTGATAAAAGCACCAACTGATCCTTAAAAAAAAAGCAATTTTTGTGGTGGGGAGGTGGTGGCATGAGTATGTGTCGCATAATTAAAATAACAGAAATTATTATTGAGAAATTTTATTTGAACCTATATAATCTCTTTTTACACCCAACTTACTTTTTTCACCCATATTATAACTTTATTAAACCATCAATATCTCTTTAAGCCCATATTTACTACCTAAATTACCCTTACAAACCTATTTCAATTGTTAGATTCATCCATACACTCATTTAGAAATAAAAACCCAAAATTTGTAAAGAGAAGTCCATTTCAAGTTAGAACTACGAAAAAGTGGACAAATTCTTAATCCAAACAATATGATCGTCCTTGCAATCATATTGCAAAAGAGCTTGTCGCACTAGTTTAGGGGTTTTTTTGCTTGTTTCAAATGGTCTAAATCTGAATTCTAATTGCTATTGTTTATGAATTCTTATTTTTCTTCCCGCTCTGGTTTAAGTTGAAGTCCTCTCTCTGGTTGTGAATATCTATCAATTAAGTACATGATTTAACCGACTATTTTTAGGGATGAATATTTATCTTTAGGATGTATTTTGTTGGATGAAATTTCAAATCTTTTAGTTTGATTTACGGCATGCATGCATGGATGAAAATAAAGGTAGGATGATATATGTTTGTGATGGTCAGTTGGATCAAACAGATAATTATTCTCTTCAAAGCTCCAACTTTCCCAAGATTTCCAAGCCCTCGGCAATTTCAACTTAAACGATTCATGGTTGTTTCGCCGGATATGTCATAGTAAATATACTAGTGTAAGTCCATGAAGAGCCATAGAATCCTCTTATGCATGTCATTTGATTTGTTTGACCTCAGCACTACGACATCTCCCATTGCTGATGTTGTTGATTTGTTTGTGCTTTGGTGTTTGTTTGGGTTTATTGATAAATTTTAGTTGTATTGTTAAATTCATCTTGTATTTGATGGTAATTATGTATTAGGGTAAAAAAGACAATTAACATTTAAATTTTAAGTTTGGTGTAAAAAAAAATTATCTGAATTCAAATAAAAATTCCCTTATTATTTTGTGGACGCTACAAGGGTATAATTGAAAATTTGTGGTTCAATTGGTGGCAATGCTGTAAAATGGTACGAATAAAAACACTCCAGCTCCACCAAAACCCTAACTGCGAAGGGAGGCGCGATAAACAGACACAAACACGCTTCCGTCGTCCTCAGTCTCTCTGCCGGCGAAGATCAGCATCTGCAGTCAGCCATGGGTATTTGATTCGGTTTTATTGTATATGTATTTTTACGGTGTCTGATTGGTCGATGACGGTGAGTGAGTGCTGTGCAGGTAAGGTTCACGGGTCGCTCGCACGTGCCGGAAAGGTTAGGGGTCAGACCCCGAAGGTCGCCAAGCAAGACAAGAAGAAGAAGCCCAGAGGCCGCGCCCACAAGCGCTTGCAGTACAACCGGAGATTCGTCACCGCCGGTAAGCTTAGCTCATCCCTCTCCTCACTTCCTCAATTTAATTTAATTTAATTTTTTGAATTAGGGTTTCTTTCTTCGGATTTTGATAGCTTAGTTCAGTTGAAATGATGTTTTGTTTATCTAACACACACACACACACACACAAACACACACACACACACACACACACACACACATATATATATATATATAGTTGGATTTGGGAACAAAAGGGTTGATAATTTGGATGGCTCTGATTGTAATTTTGATTGGAATTGCAGTTGTTGGATTTGGGAAGAAGAGGGGGCCTAATTCTTCTGAGAAGTAAGGTTGCTCTTTGGGGATTTTTTGCTGTTTTCTTATGAGGCTTTAGTTTCATTTGAAGTGTTTATTTTGTAGCCAGATTATGGTTTGACATTATCTATTGGTTCTGTTTTGTTGTTCTAAGGCATGTTTTTGATGTCCGGATTAGGAAATGCTTCCTAATATCGGCTAGTTTTCAGTCTTTGACTACATGATTGTTCGATGCAGTTCTTAATTTAATTTCTGATCTGGTCATTCCGTGTTGTTACATTGTTAGGATTGATTAGAATTAATGATAGATAAACAAAAGATTGATGCTGCCTTTATATGAGCTTGCTGAAGTCACTGGTAGTCTCAAATACTAGACGGGTACAAGTTTAACGAGCTGTTTGATTTTCAGATATCTAGATATATGTGGTACGATTTTTATTTAAACGAGGAAGCTTTTCGAACTCTGCATTTTCTGTTTCTGCCAATGGCAACATTGCTCTCCTCTTAACAACGTTATCGTTCTTTCACTCCTTTTTCTTAAGCCTTCACCTTGAGTGACTATCCTTCGTTCTGAGGTGCCATCGCTTTTACTTCCACAGCTCCACCTCTTAGATCTAGAGGTGTTGGACTTCTCTTTCTGTGAGTTATGTTTTTCATTTAATAGAAGAAAATGGATGAACCCCACTATTTCCTCATTAAGTGTTCCTTGGTGGAACAAGAACTCTAGTCACACCAAAGAACGGGCCTTCCAAGCTGACATTGATGAATCAAAGGCAACACTTTGGTAGTGACCCGGAACAGAAGACCCAGTTCTAGATGTTTCAGTCAAGTAGAGAAGTTGGTTTGTACTAGAACGTACAATGTTGGTAGTGACCCGGAACATAAGACCCAGTTCTAGATGTTTCAGTCAAGTAGAGAAGTTGGTTTGTACTAGAACGTACAATGTAGAGTTTTGATTCAGTACTTGCATTTAGTTTAAAACCTGTTAAGAGCGGATGTTTCTGACCACATAAATGGAATTGAATCATATGAATATACGAGAGTAACCGATAATGCTCTCGTGTTTGTGAAGTACCGTGGGTGTGGGATGATTGATGCACATAAAAAGTCAGATGGAATATCAGAGATGAACTTGGTTTCTTGTGATGTAACATGATAACTAGGGTCCTTGTGGATAGAGTCGGGCATTCTAGTTGTGTGTGGCGATGTTCGTAAACATTTTGGAAGATGACTCCGGCATTATTTCTGTTGGAGCTCATCTTTGCTTGAAGAAAGTTTTGTTCAAAGTGGTTTGATGCTCGAAAGCAGGTGTTGATACGCGTTGTGGGTCGGTTGACAAGTATTGATAGTGTCTTGGTTGTATGTTTGATGGTTGATGAGATGTTATATTATCGGACACTAGGGTGAAACTCCATATTATAGAGGCTATAAATCGGCGATAGGTTTGGGTATTGTGCTATTGGTTCTGTTGTTTTAAGATAGTTTGATGTCTTTGAGGAAAAGCTGGCCATTGATAATCCAATAGCCTTGGGCCAGACTAATACTCTCATGAGGAGCGTATTTGAACGTGTTTCTCATAACAAGTTTCCAAATAACTTTCACAACCATATGCGACCCACTGTATTTTAGGGTTTAATCAACGAGGCACGAGAACTCGGTTTTCGCTGAACGCAATGAAGAAGCAATTCAGAAGGTTCGTCGTTCTCCAAGTGCTGCTGAAATCTATGACCATGGTTTGGGATGTACAAGAAAAAT